GAGTCTCGCTATAGAGAACATCATGTTTCCCTCCGCACTGATTGATCAAGCGATGGTTCAATCATATTATTCTCCAGAGGACGAGGTCCGCTTCGGTCCACAACCCAAGCGAGAAGCTTTGTCAATAGCACACTCTGTTCGGAGTGACTCTCTTCATGACATGGTGGATAGAAGCTCTGCTTGTGTGAGCCCTAGCAGCGAGCTAGATAGCAAGAACCGGAACTCCACCAGGCGTCGGATACAAGTGGCAGTAAGTTCCTTTATCCAAAGATAAGCTGCGACTGTAAGAAGGTTAGGCACTGATCACAATCAGTGTAACCGATGTCGAAAAAGAAAGATCAAATGTAGTGGTGACAGTGGCAATGGACATGGTTGCTCCAACTGCATCAATTCCGGAAACAAGAATTGTCAGTTCTTGAGGGTATGTACTATGTCCTCATCAGAGCCCTCAACCATAAAGACATTTAGCTGATCGGTCATAGGTGAATTCGGAAATGATGCAGCCGAGAGCCAGCGAATGGTCCCAGATCTCGGGAGCTACTACAATGTCTCCGTCTCCAAGATCCGGTCTGTATGTACCGACTATGACGTCCAAGATAGGGGAAGTGCCAGCGACCTCTCCCAGTTTTCGCATGGCCCCTTTCCCGCGGGCCTCCAGTTATGATCTCGGGTCAGCCGATCCTCATAGTGCATACCATCGACACCCCTTTGGAGTGGACCACGGTTTGCCCTATCCAGACGAGGCTTCAGCGTACGCATCTCCGTCGTCTGGGTACATCCTGCCGAGTGCTCCACCGAACATATTCATGGATCACTGCGGACAGACATGGAATCCAAAAGTGTGGAATCAAAGTGTTCATGTTGGCAGGAGTCCCAGTGGACCGGTATACTCAGACAGCGATCACGAGGCCACATTGAATCAATCAGCGTTTTACGTTCCTCATTCGACAGAAGACCTACCAATCGTCCCAACGATGAGCTTTCCTACCGCAGAAGGGCAAGGGACGGATCGGACGCTTCCCGATCCCAGTCGGAATCAGGCTCAGATGGGGATGAACTCCTTTACGACAACTGAAGAAACTCTCTATGGGATACCGTACGGGTACCGGACCAGCAACAGCTGGGCCCACAAGAGCGCCATGTTGAACCATGGCCGTATGCAGAGCCCAAGCGAGGCTTACAGAAGCGGTCCTATCAACCGGAGTAGATCGGCGCAAGATATGATGTTTGGGTACTTGCCATCGAATGGCAGTTCATCGCCTCTAGTCCCTGCTGGTTCGTTTGCTCCTGCGTTGGACGCGGTTGACACGAGCGACGGGCTTCGCGAGAGCCCCAGCGACAGCCACCAACCATCGCGGACGTTCTCGCATGACCACCTTTCCGACTACGGCTCTGATACCTACGTGTATAGCAGTAGTGAAAGGCGCGAGAAAAACCACTCTCAAAGCGACGGGGCAGGGTCGATGCTGATGAGCGGCCTCACGTACACGCGCCCAGCGCCGGGACATCCCAGTCCTCCGCCGTTGGTTCACAGCCCAGCGTTTCGAACAGCCACGGAGATACACCACCACACCGCTATCCCGTCGCTGAACAGTTCGAGCGAGTACTAGGGACTGAGGTGTCCATGCGTCCCGATGAACGTCCAGGGTAGTTTACAAGCTATCTATAGACCGTTAAGCGCCTTGGCAGCGCCGATCCCCAGTTGGCCACCAACAAGGGCCCTAATCCTACAAACAGCGACGTCGGCAAACAGCACCATTTTACAAAGCCGAGTGCTTTTATTTGGTGACCTTTTTACATACGCCCACAGAGCAAGAAGGGCAAAAACAAATCACTCAAATGTTACACTACTAATATTAGGGTCGGTTGAGTCTGTGTTTTGGTTTGTTTCTCCCCCTTATTTTTGTATTCTTTTTCAAGCCGGGTGCTATTGATTACCTTGTCAGCCTGACAGAATCCCCAGGATGGGCTGGCTGGTCATTCTTTGTTTGCAGGTGGCTCGCTGGTTTTGATTGCTCATTTGTCAATCAATTAATAATTGTCTCGAACTGTTTCATTATTTGTTGAGGCATGGGAAAAGAGGGGGCGCCGTTGTTACTACTGTTACTATTGCTATTGCTGCTGTTATTGTCATATTACTATTGCCATGTTTCGATTACCCCATCCATTATTCCTGTTTTATTTTACACTTTTTACTGTTACTTCACTGGTCTTTGTTAATGCTGCCTGGCAGCCTAATGGGTTACACCCGCGTGGCCTTCATATTGGAGAGGGAGACGGGGGAATTCGTGAAAATAATAAGGATAGCATTTACTTCAATTACAAAGATAACTAATCTTGATCTATACCATCTATACATACTGTGAATATAACCCCGATATATTCCCCAAGACAACCACCTCCAGTAGTCCGCTCTTTTTATATGATCTCTAAAACTAGCCCCAACTAATACCATATAGATATCCTCCTATCCTGAGCCAACCCTCAAGAAGAGACCAATTCCAGCCCATAAGCAAGACATCTTATCATTCTTACCTCTTTATCCAGCCCAGCCTAACCCAACCTAACATAACCTCCTCCCATCGAAGTAACCCCCCCACATCCACCAACCCGCCAAGCCGTTACCCCAAGTATAACAAGCCCACCCAGATACAATACTACCTAGCTATATAAACCACCTTACCTATACTTACACAAATGACAAATTAACCTTCCTAGTAAACTTACCACTAATCAGACCACCCACCCACACCACCGGTCTCTCCCGGTCCCCCGGGTCCAGCTTCCGCTCGGGTGTGTATGATGTGTCTGTGCCGTGCCCATGGCTGTTGGGTAGGACAAAGGACAAAGAGATATTGATCTTGTCAGAGGGGGAATACTACCCTAATTATTTATATTTTTAACTTCAGGTATGTCTTACTACGGTGGTAGATAATAGTCGGCTTAGGGGGTATGTGTGGAGAATCTCACCCGCAGGCCGGCTCTATACTACTTATCGAATGGAGAACTATAATTTTATAATGGTGGCTGGCGATAGAGGCGCGTCGGGAACAAAAGAAGGATTGTTGGATGGCGTTCGAGGGCCGGATCGGATTCCTAGATTGGGATTGTCTTTGTCTTCATGTTGAGCCGGACGGAAGATCGATGGTGGGAATCAGCACAGACACAGACACAGATATCTAGTAGTTATCGTGCTGGATTGGTTGTTCAAGTAGGGAATAAGTAACAAAAAGGGATATATTTAATTTTAATGGACATCCATCCCGAATATCCCCGGAACGCGCGCGCGAACAAAAAAGAGAAAAGATAAACGTCCAGTCCACACTTATCACCCAGAGTTGTCTTAGATATGCGAGAAAAGTGAAAAAAGTTTTAGAAATCTTCCCTGATCTTTTTTTCATTCTTCATAAGAGGGAGGGGGAATTCGTGATATGATAAGAGGGAAAAGAAAAAAAGGAAACGAGAAAAAAGGGAAAACATAGGCGGATTATGCGGTGCCCGCCCCATACGGTAAGTAGAATAGAGGGAGAGTTAAAAAGAAACCATGAAACGAGTTTGATGATAACGCCCTCATTCACATACACACACGACAACCACACACACCAACCCAGTGTTCTTCTTTTTTCCTTTTCCCCCTCATATCCAGCAGGGAATAAAAAAAAATTGAAACAATTTTTCCTTTCTTCTTTTTTCACTTCAGGCCCGGGTCCGCATGTCGACGTTCGTCTCCTTCTAATTCTTCGTCGTCGTCCGAGTAGTAAGGTATCCGATGATCCGAAAGTGAATTCGAATCCTGCAACGACCCCCCTCTCTCTCAACCGCACGGAATTCCATCGTGACGATCCGCTTAGTCCTTGTTCTTCTTGGGGCCCTTGGTCTTGGCGGTACCGCGGAACTTCTTGGAGCGGTTCTTCCGTTGCTTGCCTGTAGGGATTGTGAGTATTGGTTCGGTTTTCGAATGATTGATGAAATAGTATAGGTGGGTGTGAACATACGCTGCTGTCTGCTGGGCTTCTCGACCTTTGTGCCAGCACCGATGCGGACCAGACGGTAGAGGGGCTCGAACTTCTTCAGGGCCTCCTGGGAGTCGTAGATGAGAGCGAAGCCAGTGCTCTTACCACCACCGTACTGCGTACGGAAACCGAAGACGGAGACCTGGTCCTTGTTGGACTTGTACAGGTCGGCGAGCTTGTCGCGGAGCTCGTCCTTGGAGACGTTGGCGCGGTTGGGGTGGAGGACATCCCTGTTGGAAAAGAAAATCAATCATCAGCATGCCGTTTATTCCTTTGCTGGTTTGCCCCATATCCAGGTTGTCTGTCCAATATGTCCGAATTTCAATAATCGATATTGAAACACACACACAAAATATATTCTAGTATATACTTGGAGTGTGCTCAAAAATCGATCATTTCCATCCGGAAAAATTTCCTCCTCCTAAATCCTCCTCTTGTTGTATCCGCTTGTATTCTCCTTTCCCTTTCCTCCTTCCTTTCCTTCCAGCTCGATGGTGAAGGGAGCTTACACGACCATCTGCTTGCGAGCAAGCAGGGGGTTGCGGATGAACTTGCGAGTCCGCAGGGTAACGGGAGCGTCGGCCATGGTTGCAGGTGCAGTTGACAGCGAGAATCTGCGTGCGACAGGGAGAAGCTGAAGGGCAGAAACGGGGGGGCGCGGGTTGTCGAAGTCGCTGTCAGTCGTTGGCGGGCTCGAGATGCGCTCGATTCAATTTTGGCAGAGTTTCGTTGTGCATCGCCTGTGGGCTCGGCTAGGCTACACTAGCCGGATATAGTTAGAACATTACCCTTTGTGGGCGTATCCTTAGTAATACATACCTTACCAGATACAGCTAGACCTAATGAACTAGATAATTATGCTAGGGTAGCGCATTGCTTACTAACTTATCCAATCCACTAAGATAACTAGTTACTTATCAGTATCATCGAACTATTCTATAGTAGTCACTTTTTATCTCAACTACAGAGAGTCAAGAGTTATACAAAATGTCTCTCTCCCTCCTCACAGCCCAATACTTCCAACAACTTGATCCCCATCTCCTCACCTTCCCCGAAGACAATTACCTCCTCCACCCCACCACCCAAGAAACCATCTACAATACTCTCTTCTCCGAATCCCACGCCGCAAATGACCATCCCCTCCCCCCACCCGCCTACCGCACGCGCGTGCTCAAGCGCCTCATCACAAAACTAGAATCCCTACTCTCCAACCCCGAGGAGGATGTACGCTGATCCTGATCCATATCCCTTGAGTATGCGCTGCATACCCTACCTCCCTCTCTCTCTCTCTCTCTCTCTCTCCAATTCCCTCCTAGGAACAACCCCACTAACCCAATTTCATTCAATCCAAATATAGGAAATCAACGAATCCCTCCTCGAAGAATACAGCACGCTCCTCACCCTCCCCAAACCCTCCTCAATCGAACAAGCCCAACAACTCACCTACATCACCTACACCGCGCCACCAGAAGATGACCCTCACCATTCCTCATCCCAATCGAAAGAGCGGAGAACAATCCTCACCTCCGAATCCCGCTCCGCAATCATAACCGCCGGCACAACCGGCCACCGAACTTGGGAAGCGGCACTGCATCTCGCCACGTACCTCTCTACGGCAGCAGGACGGGCGCACATCACCGGGAAGAAAGTCCTTGAGCTCGGCGCCGGCACGGGCCTCGTGTCGATGTTCTGTGCGAGGTATCTTGAGCCGGAGGTGGTGGTGGCTACGGATCGGGAGCTGGGGTTGATGAGGCAGATAGGGGACTGCGCGGGACGGAATGGGTTAGCTGGAGATGGGGATGGGGTGTTTAAGGGGTGGATTTGGGAGTGGGGGAGGGAGTTGTCTAGGGGGGTTGGTGAGGATGAGGATGATGATGATAGCCAAATGAAGGAGGATGGTGAGGTGGATGGTGGGAAGGTAGAGTTTGATGTTGCGCTGGGTGCGGATCTGGTACGTTATTCTCTCTCTCTCCTTCCTTCATGTTCATTGGGTTGTATACCATGGATGGACAATGTGCAACTCTGGACCGGGTTACTGGGTGCAATCGCCTAATCTGGAGCGAGTTTCCTGGTTCATATTTTCAGCATTTTCCACTCCATCCTTTTTCCCTTCCCTTCCCTTGGGTATGGTAGCTACGCTACGTAGCTCTATGGTGTGCATCATGCTGTGTTGTGTTGTGTACTGTGCTGCTGTGTCGCGTTGCACTACATACCTACATACCTACCTACCTCACCTCACCCCAATCCAGAAGTTAAATGTACTGACAAATACTCATCCAGATCTACGACATCGACCTCGTCCCCCTCCTCGTGCAGACCGTCAAATCCCTCTTCGAGAAATACGCCGTCAAGGAATTTCTCATCTCCGCGACATTACGCAATGAGCGTACTTTTGGCGCGTTTTTGAATGCTTGTGGTGCGTTTGTCCCTTCCCGTTTCTCAAACACTGGTATGGATATTATTCATGTCTGTGTGTGTGTGTGTGTGTGTGTGTGTGAAACCAACTAACGGGATGTGCGTGTCGAGCAGAGGAGAGTGCATTGAAGGTGGAACGGGTTCCGTTTGAGTCGCCGGCGGAGGAAGTGCAGACGGGGTTTTTTCATTCCACGGTTATTCCGATTAGGACGTATAAGATTACTGCGTAGGTTTGCTGTGTATTAAGGGGATGGATATGGGTGTATATTTTAGCAATAGACAAGAATGATGATTTAGTTAAGTGTATACTGTCTGTTTCAAGAGGTATTTGTATAGTAATGTATTTATTAAGAGAAAGCACCAAACACCTTCTCTTCTAATGCTAGTAGTATATTTGATTTATGCAATATAGACATCGCTCATGGGTATCATAATATATCTAAGGAACGCCCACTTCCAACCCAGGAATGAGTGAAAAGGTAATGAACCACATAGGGAATGCACGCATACACCACAATGTATGCTGAGACCACGCTCAAAATAACAATGGAATGGTGACTGAATAGAGTGACAGCACCATGATCAACAAGATACTCTCAAAATTAAAAGCAATATACCAGTGGCGTCTCACTGGCAGTCAGCAAGACTCTCCCGGAGTAGCCCCTCGTCCACTTGTTCTGCATGCACCGACACCGGCACTCGTGATCGCGACGGAGGCCGGAACCCCAGGATCGGGCCCTTCTGGTTCACCCCCGGGTACCGGAAGCGCAAAGGAGGGGCCAGCTGAGGCCGGTGGTGCCGGCTCTTTCTGGAGGTGGAGCCAGCGGATGAGGGCCTCCGGCTGGGTGTGTTGGAAGCAGAAGCAGAAGTTGTGGTAGATGTCTCGGCGTTGGGTTCGTTGGACGAGGTGGGCGCTGTGCCCCAGTGCCCGCGGACCCAGCCGCCGACACGACGGCCCAAGGAGAGTTTGCGGAATGAGGCGGTAGTTGTGTCTTCGGGGTCATTCTCAACCGGAGTGTGACTGCGACTGCCTGCCACTGAGGCAAGGAGCGTTTGCGGGGATTGGTCGGTTATCATCGCCAGCTCGCTGCCCGCCGTGACGATACTAGGAGAGATGATGGGAGGCGTGGGGAACAGGTCGGCTCTGGAGGACATGATGCGGCGGGGAATGCGGACCGGAACAGCACTGGAGTGGAGGTCGCTCAGTCGCGAAGGACGACGGCTGGGAGTGTGAATGTCCATGCCAGCCACGGAAAAGAGACTCTCGTGGGAGGCGCTGCGGCGGGGGCCGCGATAGGGCGTGGAGAAAATGCCGTCCTGAACGGCAGGAGAGGCAGCCCGTGCGGACTCGGCATATTGCGTCGATCGCCCATCCTCCCTCTCCTCTGGAATGACAGACTGCATCGCCGCTCTGCCCGCGTATTCGGCACTGCTGCGACGCTGGAAATAGTCATGAACCAGGTCGTCGTCAATGCCCGGTACTGACACTCCCTCACCATCCAGCGAGCGATACGCTGCATCGACTTGTGCCTTCTTGAACCGGCCGCTTCGCAGCGGCGATGAGAAGACTGTGCTATCAGGGCTTGTCGGCTGGGAGGAATCGAACCCGCGGTCTACCCGGTCAAAGATGGATGATGGCTGATATGCCGACTGCGGGGAGCTAGCCATCGATTCCGACGCAGGGGACTGCAATGACCAACGGTGAGGGACCGTCGGAGGGATAGAGACGGAGGTTTGCGAAAGGATTGTAGAAGCGGAGGAAGTCGAGGGTTTGGATCGGTGATTCGCCCTTTGCGTGAGGGGCGTTCCTGCAACCGAGTGTAGCACCGTCGCGCTGCCAAGGGAGCGTCTCTTCTTGTTGCGACGGAAGAGTGAACCCCGCTCCTTCTTGATGGTCGGTGAGTGATAATGGTGATGGATGTGAAATTCCTGCGACACCCGACGCGACTCCTTCGACTCCAGTTCCTGACTGAGAGTCGTGGACGGCCGGATCTCCTGGTCCTCGGGTGCCAACGGCTGGTGCGACAGAACCTGATCCCGCAGATTCTCGACCTCCTGGTTGGAGCTCTCTAGCATCTCTCGCAACTCCATTATCCCCATCTGCAGGTTGGCATTGTCCTGCAAGATATCTCGGACGAAGCGGGAGACCACCGTCGCGCCGCCGCGATTGCGCCCCAACTCCTGGGCCGCTGCGGCGCCCTTCAATCGACCTGCGGCGCCATCGAGCTCCCGTTCCACGGTCCGCCGCCGCTCCATACGTTGAACCAGCTCCGCATGTCGGTCCCGTTCCTCGCGGGCTTCCTTCTCGATGCGATCCACCTGATCGTGCAGGTCCCGCAAGGTGCATTCGGCCTGGCGCCATCTCTGGACAGCCGACTTGGAGTCCTCCTGAGCGGACTGCAGGCTCTCCTGCAACTTGGATTGTTCCGCTTCCATTTGCGCCAGTTGCGCTTCGAGGTCGGCGGCGCGAGCCGCTGAGTGCGTGAGTTTGCGCAGCTCCGCCTCGGTGCTCTCGAGGCGGGTCTCCAGCGACTTGGAGTGGGAGTCAGACTCGGCAACGGCCTTGTTGAGGCCATCGAGCTGTTCCAACAGGCCGCGATTTTCTTCAATGATGCGGGCATTCTCAGCCTGAACCTCCCGCTTCTCGCGTTCTAGATTCTCAATGCTGACGAGTAACCGATGGCGGTCCTCTTCCGCCTCGGCCATGTAGGATTCATGACGGTGGAGTAGAGCCTGGAGAGCAAAGGTTAGCGATGATGAGCTGCTAGTGGCTGCTGCCATGGCAGCTTTATCTGGAAAAACAGTCATGACGGACAAAAACGCAATGGGAGAGCACTGGGGACGACGCCAGCATGGAGGATGGTGGTGATGATGGCGGCGAGGAAGCCACGAAGGTATCTCCCGATCGACTGCAATCTGTTGCATTCATCTTCGCGAGCGCAAGCGATGATCAAATTCCAACGGTGGGCACCGATCCATCCAAAAAAGGTAACAAATATGTGCGGGAAGACAAGAAGTATGTGCAACCCGACAGAAGTATGTGGGTGGGCGGGTATACAGGAGAGAGTATGAGGATATAGATAGATATAGATATAGATAGAGGGGCGTCACGCAACACGATGCAGCGGTTAAATAAAAGCCAATGGGCAGACATGCAGAAACGAGAAACCAAGGCAAGGCAAGATCCCTGGCCGGCCATCCTTATACAGCAGGGAAGTAAGAGGCCGGTTGTACGACAAAGAAACCCCCCCGCGGCCGGGAAAACCAGGGTGACGTCGGCGAACCATCCAACGAGCGAAGTTAAAAATGAATAATACAATAATCCACCGACGGAAAAGCACGGGTAGGAAAGTATGAGAGAGAGAGAAAAAAAAAATAAAAATAAAAAATCAAGCAAACTAAACTAACGTACCTGGCCCAGCCTCGCGGCAGTTGCCAAATCCTTCTCGAGCCCCTCCAAGGCAACATGGTTATGGAGCAGGAATGCGCAGTCATCGCGGCCACAGCAGCAACGGGGGGGAACAGAAGAGGAACTGGTGGCCGCGTGGGAGGGAATGCAGGGCAAATGATTAGCGGCTGGTGGATCGGAATCCATGGCTGGGAGGAGAAGTAACAACAGCAGTCGCAGCAGGATTCTTCGGAACAGGTGGAGGAAGTCGAGGCAGAAGGTGAGTTGGCACCCCTACTAGTCGGAGCGATGAGCTGGACTGGAGACGCCAGTTCATCGAGAGACCAGAGAGGAAGTCAGCAAGAGAGAGTGAGAGAGAGGCAGAGAGAGATTAATTTTAGGCGCTGGAATGGAGATGGTGTCTTTGCTTCAGACACAAGCCAGTCCAGTAACTAACTAATTATGATTAGGGGGGAAAGGAGGAAAAGAATCCGAGGTAGAAGGGGCCCTTGTCGGGCCTAGGAAGAATGCAGCGACCGAATCCTGCAGGTCCAATGGGCGACATGCACGACTGGCGGATTGAATTGATGGATGGAATGAGTTTCAATGGGAGAATAAGTAAAGCGTAAATAATGCATGCAATCGCCCAGTCGATGATGTCGAACGAAACACAAAAAGATGTAATCAAGGCGGCAACTGATTTATGGCAGTTGATTGGTCCGATTGGGGCAAAGTTACCCATGGCAGCGAAAGTTTATCGGTACTGCCATTACGGACATTACAGACAACTCACTCTCTTGTGTAGTAGTAGTAGTTCATCTACTAAACTACAACCATCATTTACGAGTATCAACATATGGGAGAAATTGGAGAATTCTGCTCGACACTCACCTGAAGATAAAAATAAACTCTCATTCCTGAATAATGCACTGACAACTGTTTGTTCCCTCCCCGATCTGATCCGGAAGAGACTCCACTCCCGATGAAAATGATACGCAGCAAGCAAAGCAAGCAAGGCAAACCAGGGAGGCTGGTCGGTGCCTGATGGATGCAGCATCCCGTGCCAGCTGGTCCGGTCTCCATCCACTGCTCCATCCGGTCGCCCAATTGCCATCCTCTCCTGGCTCGTTTCATCACCATCAGCATCAGCCTCGTCTTCATCATCATCAGAAAGCCCAGAGAGTGGACCGGTGTGCATTTGCATAGTTCGCTATTCCCTACACTGCCTGCCGTTGTATGTACTACTACCTACAGCGCCTTTTTCCCCTTCTTCCCAGAGGAGGGAGAGAGGAAAGAGGCATAGCCACCACCACAATCACCCCCCAAAAGGAACTCGGACCCCTGCTGCAATCAGACCATCATGAGATGCAGTTACACAGTCTTTCTTCACATGCCAGATGTAATCAAATCATTCACACAAAATACTCCCGAGACTACCCAGATCGCCCGCTCAAAGTAGAAAGTCATTACGCACATTAATAAACGCCCCGGCGCCGCCCTCCTCGCTAATCTCGTTCACCAGCACTTCGGTTTGTTGGTAGAGTCGCTCCAGCGCGGCCGACGAGGATTTACCCAGTGACACTGCTTTCAATTAGTAAAGGCAAAACTACCACCACCAATAAATATCAATTGACATACCGAGAATGGCCGAGTTCAACTCTTCCGCCACCGCAATTCGCCCCGCAGGGTCCAGGTAGTGGCCATGCACTGACCGTCGCGCGTCCGGGTAGGCCACCAAGGAAAAGATGTCGTCCAGCATCTTCCGGTCCCCGCCCCGCTCCTCCGGCGGATAGTCCAGGAACAACTGCTGCCCGTACTGCACCGCCTCCGTGAGAAGCTCGTTCGATCGCGCTGTGCTCTCCGTCTCCTCCATGTCCATGCCGTCCGCCTCGTAGCCATCGCCTTCCTGAAGCTGCTCGTCCAACTCCATCTCCTGGTCAAACACCGCGCTGCTGTCCGACAGCCCGTTCGACGACTTGCCGCGCTTCGACGGCGACGGTGATGGCTCGTTGCATCGACGCATCATCTCCAGGAATTTGCGGCATCGTAGCTTGAAGTGGATCTGCGGGTAGGTCTGCAATACATTCGCGTAGTAGGCATTAGTGTATTTGAGTGCTTTGTCGATGTCACCTTCCAGGATAGCCGCGCGGATCTCTGCCGGCCAGTTAGCATGGAAATACCGAAGCAATACCAAGGATGAAGACAGTCATACTCTGCCGATTAATAGCTTCAACATCTTCCTCCACCTCGTATTTCTTCAACGGTGCCTGTCGACCGTTCTCCAACGCCGTGGACTCCGCCGCCACTTCTTCGGCAAACGCGCGGGCGGTCTCGACATAGCCGTCATGAGCAAGAAACTGCGCCACCAACTCCTGCAGTAGGCCCGATTCATCCAACGGGGGTTGCAGATTCGCCGTGCTGGTCAGAGCAATCTCCGAATGGATCAACGACTTTTCTTTCTGTCCGGAACCATTAGCTACATTAACAACTCAAAGGTAGAGTAGCCTGTAGGTTGGCTCACCTTGACCATGTCATCGATATCGAACATGAAGGGCTGCTGCCCAAAGTTCACCACCAAGTGGACGGGCGGTTGCTTCTTCATGCCCACCGACGGGTAGACCTTTAGGTTTCGTAATTCCCGGAATGCATTTCCTGGTAGTGGTTAGCTGAGGTAATACTCTCGACATTGGAAGGCAGCCAGTATGGAAGTACCTAAGAACACGCCATTCTTCGTGAAGAAAGCACATCCCGTGGAGAAATTCACACCACATCCCACAGTGTCATTAGCTCCAAACGTCGGACCGTATTGTCGTCCCTGCCCCTGACTTTCTCCGAAGAAGGACTTCCCATCATCGCCATGGTAAGCCCATGATTCCTGTTCCCATCCGGGCAGTCGTTCTACCGAGGCTTTCCGGCTCGAGAATCCGATTCCGATCATTCTATACCTCCCAGTCAGCATTCTGATGAACCATACGGGTTATGAAAGCGGCCAGCATACCCCTCTTTGGGTTTGGATAAGATGGTGATCTCAAAGTAGTAGATCCCGCACTGCGGGGGCATGGGATTATCTGCCCGAACGGCAGCAGCCTCATGTTCATGCTTGTTGACCGGACCGGTGTATCGGACTTCCAACCCTCCGTTCCCAAGCTCCAGGCCGGTGAATTTATCGTCGTCGCTCCATCGGGAGGGGAGGGGTAGCAAATGGTCGTCGTCGCTGGGGGGTTCTCTTTCGATGATATCATAGGTCATGCCCCGATGAGAGGGTGCAATCCGGGGCAAGCTGGCCTGGCTGGAGGAAGTGGAGAGGGTGTTCGAGGTGGTGGAGGGAATGGCGCCATCGCGCTGGGCTGCATGCTTTGCCCGACGGGCGGCATCGAGGCGGGAGACATAGCGGGAGTTGAGGAGATATGAGGGTGTGAAGGAGGGTGCGGCCGAGTCGGCGAAAGCTCCCGGGTTGTGATAGCACGGGTCAAAGCGGGCGAGGTTGGCAAACTTCCGAGAGTAAGGAGGAAGCGAATCGCCGGGGGACGACCTCCATGAGGAATTCATTTGCATCTCGGCATCCACGGCGGCGGATGGCCTCAGCAGGCGGGCTTCGGGAGAGAAAGGCGGCGGCGGGGGATACGAGGCGGTGGAGGTGGAGTGGGAGGGGGAGAAGGGCGAGAAAGGATGATTGCTGAATGTGGGAGGGGAGAGAGCGGCGGTCCCCGACAGCACTGAAGCGTAAGAAGACCGGCGGGGGATGGAGGAGATGCTGGGGACGTTGGAGTAGTAGTTGTAAGTCGAGGGAGTGGAGGAGGTGGTAGCAGCGGCAGTGGAGGAGGCAGTAGTAGTACTAGTCGGGATGGTTGAGGTAGTGAGAGCAGCTGCTCGTGGAGCTCCACCGGAAGGGGGAAACGATGCGTCAGTCATGGTTGCTGCTGCTGCTGCTGCTGCTGCCGGGTACTAACTTAACGCTTGCTCCGTTAGTTTAGCAGTACTTCAGATAATGTCTTGAATTCGTACCATTTGTTTCTTGCACCGTGTAAAATTTATATCTGTTTCATTCGTGCTCTCTTTCTTCGTGATCAGCTGTTATACTCTGCACCGGAACTTCCCTTGTTCTTTTGTCGTTTTCCCCCCTACTCGCTGGCCTTGCTTTGCTCACTGTCTCGTGGAGTATTAGTTCTGGGGCAACTTCCGTAACCGGGGAGCGTGAGTGGAGCAGCACAACCTCTCCCCCTAAAGGGCTGATCGATAGTAGAAGGCGTGAGAGAGATACATACATTGAAGCCAACGATCAATCCAGAAACGCGCTTCGTGCTCACATCAACACACAGGCATTCAAAACCAGCAGAAATAACAGCACAAACAGAAGTGAAGAAAAAGAAAAACAAAAAAAGAATCCTCAAGGCGGAAAAAGAGAAAGACCAGAACCGCAGTGAATGACCAAAAGGGCACACCTCGCGTGACCCAAGGAGAAGAGTGAGCAGAACAGACCAGAACAGTCAAGTCCTTGTTTAGTCTTTTAGTATGACAGACAGAAACAGAACCAGGCATGACGGATGGCCTGACCCGAGCCATAGTTCATATTAAATTATACTAATAGATTCCTATTAATACAAAAAAAAAAAAAAACTGCGGGGAAAAAAAGGGCTGAGAGGATTTGATCGCCTGTCTTCGGCTTCTGCTGCTGCCTCCTCCTTCTTCCTTCCTTATGATCATGATCATCCATCCATAGGGAACGCAAGACAGGTCCGGTTGGCATACAACAATCCCCGGGTATTTACTCTTAGTTTAACTCCTTGTCAGAATGAGGAGAGGGGGAAGAATTCCCCCTCCCTCTCTTGCCTATTCTCCCCGCGTTTTTCCCCCCTGCCCTTGCATTCATTCATCCATCATCCGCTGTTGTCTAACAGGAATGACGACCTGCTGAGCAGTCACTCATTTCCCTTTTACTCTCACCTATCCATGGAGCGGATGGGGGGATCTCCCTCGATGTCCAATATTGGTATGTCTAGACTAGATTGGGCGGGACTATGATGCAGGGTGTGTATCACCCCGGCTCTGGCGCCATGGGGGACGCCCCGGGACCGTTCAACCCACGATTCTTCCTTCATCCGGGAGCATCCTTGGACTGGAGAATTCGTAAGTAAGGATACAATAAGGTAAACCATCACTCCGTAGCTAGGATACGGTGTCTATTACTCTACAGCATGGAGGCCTTCACTATGATGGGGGGCAGCACGACAAACGCTGACAGTCTTGGCTACCGGGAATCTCCCCCGTCTTTGCTTTTTAGGCGTGGTGGACGTAACATCAGCTCCTGCCAGTGTATCACCTAAATATATCTCAGAGTGCAACAACAGAGGCAAGCATACCTTGATAGTAGCAGCCTGAAGGACTTCCCTAGCCGGCAGTCATGGAATGGCTCCCCCGGTTATCTACGGACTACAAGACAGCTACTAGTCTAAATGAATGTAGTGAGCACGTGCGGCCCTCCAGGCGCACAATCGGCCTTCAATTCCGTGTGGGACAACGCAGACAATGCTGCCATTCCAGTCCATTTCGGTATTCATGTCTCGAATATGCGGCCAATCGCCGTCAAAAGAAAAGAAAATTCCCTCAAACCCTTGCCCAAGCCCATAAGCGAAATCTCTACTGATACAAAACAGTGGTAAATAGTAAGGAAAACCGAGCAGCGAAAAGCAAGCAAGCAGCTCACACAGGAAGAGCCCATGAAATGTGCAGTATGCACCGCCACGTCCCCATGCAGAGCCTCAAATACATCTCTCATGCGAGTGGCCCGCTGAAAAGTCCGGTAACCGTCAAAACCCAACGCCAACCCGAGTAACACGCAAGTGCAGAAACAGAGAAACCATCACCAGGAACGTCGAAGGAATAAAGGTAGTAGTGTGTCAAAATGTAATGTACAGGAAGGACAATATGTCGTTGGTAGAGGAAGCAACATCAGTTGCAGGACCCCTCAAGCAGTCATGGCGATGGCGGGAGAAGACGCTTCCGTCAGGTTAGGCGGAGCGGGAGTGAGTTCACCGTCGCCAGTGCTCTTCTCGCTGGGGACGCCACTGGCACTCTGGTTGGCCTTGCTGTCGCTGTCGCCAGTCTCGAGAGCCATGCTCTGACCCTCGTCGTTCTCCTCGGACTTCAACGGGCGAGGAGTACGCCAAGACGGCAGCATCCATTGGATGCCGGTGAAACTCTTCAGCTGAAGAGGCTTACGCTCCCAGCGACGGCATGGGGACCCGGTGCGATCCAGAGCACGTAGACCGGCATTGATTGCACCCAAGTTGGCCTTCGGACCGAGCTTGTGAGCTGCCACCAACTTGGCAGTGTCGACGGTGCCGTCATCACTAGAAGCAGTTAGCAAATGCACCCATGGTCAATTGGTCGGGATGGAGGAACATACAGTCGGGGCTTCTTCTTGGGACCTGGCTTGCCTCTCGGCTTCGGGGTGGTTTCGCCGGTCTGGTTGAGGCCTCGTTTGGTGCCCGGCTTAGGGCCCGGAACGCCCTTGCGACGAGGTGTGTCTGCAGCCGAGGTGCCTGCGGCGGGCGTGGACGCAGCATCGGAGGCATTGTCCACGGACGAGGGAGGGAGAGGTAGTTCGGCGGACGAGGAAGCCGGGGACGAAGGCTCCTGGATCTTGACGGGCGAGTCGGCATTGCTGACGCTACCCCGTTTGCTCTTCTTGTCCTTTCCCTCGGGCGGTGGTGTCACGAACTGGCTCAGCAGATCGGTAGACAGCTTGAGGACAACGATCCTTTTGGAAGGTCCAGATCGGCTGGAGCGACCGTTTGCGGTGGAGCTGGCAGAGCTGGCGGCCGGCATGGTGGATAGTCTCGAATTCAAGAGATGGGTTGGAGTTGATGAGATAGGTTGGGTTGCCCCTTCAGACGATGCGAAGAGGAGTTGGGAGGAGAGTAAGATAAGAAGGGACCCCCCCCGATCGGGTTGTTTAGGCAGAGACCACAGCCAAACGCAGCTGAAGGTGAGGTGGGTGAGGATTAATAAAGCCGCAAGACTGAGTTGGGGCGAGGAGGTGGTGGAAGAATTAAGTGACGATCGTGACGTGGGTGTTGAGGGATTGGTTGGTGGGATGGAAGGGAACCGGATGAATGGTGGTAGTGTTAGTCGTGGGCGGCGGCGAGACTCGGTCAGAGAGAGGCGAAAGTCTGGCAGGGCTGAAGAAGGAGGCAGTGGACGTGAGGCGCTGGTGACATACTCCGGTGGTGAGGATAGGGCGGTGGTGGTGGAGGTGGAGGTGAGGGTGAGG